TGGGAATCGTGGTCCGACTAGGTAAACATCTTCCCTTGAAGCGTGATGTCTATGAGCTCATTACAAGATATGAAATCTAAGAAGTCCAACATTCCATGGAAAATGTTGGAATTGGAATCCTCTCATAAGACCATCCGGTGATATTGAAGTCCCCTTCCAAGCACCACGAGAGGTGAGGGATGCTACAAGGTCCAGCTCAACCCAAAATAGCGATCTAAGCTGCGGTGAGTTTGGACCGTAGATTGCGAAAAATTTCCACAAGACCCCATCTGACAATCTAGAGAGTAACGCCGTCACCGAGTAATCTCCGATATGGGAGGATGACAGATTGTGCTCCGTAGGATCCCAGATCACCAGGATATCACCGGATGCCCATGTCGCTGGCAGAGAGAGCCACTGACATGGTTTCCTACCCCAGACTTGATGAATCAGCTGAAGAGATGAATCTTGTTTTTTGGTCTCAGTTAAGGCTAGTACAGAGGGGCGGTGTTTAGAGCACGCATCTCTCACTGCCTTTTGTTTGTGCGGCTGTCCCAGGCCGCGGATGTTCCAAGAAAGTATTTTCATGATCTGTACGAGGGGGAAAGAGTCCTGCGAGGGGTTGACTGTGAGAGAGGACGAGGGAGACCTCCTGGATCCTGAGTCCTGCGAGGGGGTGACTATGAGAGGACAAGGGAGAAACCAAAAGTTGTTTTTTGTCATAGTTCACTGAGGAGAAAAGGTTAAGAATTTCTCTGTGGCCTTTCCAACACACCTTCATGTGACGATCAGCGTCTGCCAAGAAAAAGTGGTGGAGGGGTCCTTCTTGACCGTCAAAAGGAAAACCCATTACCCTGAAAATCTCTATCATTTTGTCTGTTTGATTTTCCACCTGCTTGCTGGTAGAAGCATCCTCTCTTTCATGGTTGTCGTTATCTTCCCTAGATGCCGGAGAAGTAGGGCCCGGGGGTAGCAGAACCTCACGGGGGGAAGATACAAGGTGGTTAGCAGAAGAGGAAGGGACAGTGACGCGGGAGGGAAGTGTCACCTGAGCCTGTGGAGGAGGGTCAGAGAGCGAGAGAGGGGATTCAAAATCGGCGAGGAATGGACTCGAAAGGGGGGGAAGCGATGGGGACGAACAAGGGGTGGTAGATTCTATCTACCCAAGAGAGGCTCGGAGACCCGAAGAGACGGTACCCCGAAAGGAGGAACCCAGGGGTCAGACGGGGCAGAGGAAGGGGCGAGCCGAGGGGAGCTCGCTATGAAGGGAAAATGGTCGAAGACCTGGGACCTACCAGGAAAGAATGTCGGCTTGAAGGAGGGATGAAAGCAGGGTTGGGGACAATCGTTAGCTAGGATGGCCGAAAGAGGTAACAAAGGTTGTCAATGGAGATGGAGAGGGGAAGATTGGGGGTCGAGACTTGACATATAGGTTCGAGGTGGGGAGTGAAGGGCAAGAACGAAAAGAGGATAGGAGGTTGAGGTCGATGGTTGCGGGGTCCCAAACTCGTACCGCCACCACCCCGAAGGGGTACTGTGACCAGTCCATCGCAAAAAGGGGAGGGCGAGAGGAAGGAGCCACTCCAAGCAGGGGGGGGACTGGGGAAGGGCGGGGTAGGCAGGGTGACAGGAACGCGAATAGGAAAATGAAAGTTGGAGTCGGAGGTTGCAGGGTTGGGGAAGAGGGAGGGGACAAATAGCGCAGGAGCCGAGAGGGAGGGAGCAGGGGCTAAACAAGGCTCAAATCGGACGGGCAAGACAGAGGGGGTAATGACGAGGGGGATAAAGGAAGGAGGTGGGAGGGTAGCGGGGGTAAAAGCCACCTCGATGGAGGTCCAAAGGCACTCAAGGATCGTCGGGTGATCCTTAGCCACCGAGGCAACAGGTACAACGAGGGGGGAGCTTGCGACACGTCACCCAAGAGATATGACGTGACCAGAGAGGCCATTGAATCGACCCTTCTGAGGGCAGGTCGAATGGTGCAGCTCGAGGTCGGAAGAGGAGGTGGAGACGGCGACGTGGCAAGTACGGAGCCCGAGGGCAAAGCGGCACAAGTAGGAGACCCTCCTAGCGGGTGGCACTCAAGGGCCTTGTTGGTGCGGGACCTCCGAGAAGGCGCGTGGGGCGGCGTGGTGTGACTCACCGAAAGAGACCTGGGTGCCGACCCCGAGGGGGCCTGAAGACCCGAGTAGGCCGAAGAGTGAGTGAGGGCTGGGCCCTTGACATCATGGCCACCAACAATACCGCGCTGGGGCCCGACTCGGTTCCCATCCACATGCGAGGATCGCCTGACGACGTCAGCGCAATGGTCCACTAGGTAAGTTATATTGCAGGGTGAGGCGGCGAATACGACGGAAATGGAACGCTGTGCGCTGAAGGCGGCGATCAAGACTTGCACCAAGGTCGCCTGGGGTCCGACCTCGATTTATGGCTGTCATAGGGACGTGTCGACCTAAGGGTCAAGACATTAGAGGGGGGCGACCGTTGACGGCTGCCGGAGGTGCATCGCTTCCCGGACACCAGATTCCAATCCGACAGTTTGGGTCTTAGAGGTTTCTGATCAAGTAGGTGGTTGAAGAAGGGATCAAAGGCCGGAGACACCATGGACCAGGAGATTGAGAGGGGGAAGAAAAAGTCACCCACCCTAAGCCATATGAAGTGAGGGATATTCTGCGTGTTGAGAGCCTCTACCAGGAGGCGCATGGAGCCAAGAGGAAAAAACGCTAAAGATTTCCAATGGATGGCAACCAAGAAGCCACAAGCTTCGGCCACTTTTTTGAAAATCACTGGCGACAACGCGTGAAGAGGGATGTCAGCCACCGTTATCCAGATTGTCTACTTTCTGAAGGACCCCTCTAAAGGCAACCAAGGCCGAAGTTTCAAAACCGCCCCTTTGAAAGAAGGGGGAAAGCTAGCTTGAGAAATTCTCCTGACACACTCGGGCAAGGGGAAGCTGAAGAGGATCCTTCCGTTGGCCATGGCCCGACAAGTGACCTGAGGATCGCCCCAGAGTTGCTGCGCCCATTTCTCGATGCCCCTTATATCGTCCCTCCTCGAGGAGAAGGATCCCACGAGAGAAGCTTGCAGTTTTACGGTTAGGGGGGACACCTCCTCCAATGTGGAGAGAATCAGAGGTTGATAAGGGGAGCTCCTTTCCTGTGGGCTAGACTCCGAGACAAGACAAGTGAGGCCCTTAACAGATGTTTTGGGCACCTGGTTGGGCAGGGGGTGGTAAGAGGCTACTTGAGCATATGTGGTTGGGAAGTGGCTGATCAATAGCAATGGTGTGAGGTTGAGGGATAAAGATTGTAGATAGCATCCATGCTAAACGAGGGGAAGGAGGAAGGGAAGGCTTCGCCATATTAGTTCGAGTTTGGAGTCAATTTTGCGCACATGTTCGTTTGGGATCATTGGTGAGATGGAGAGAGCAGTTGAATTCGTACCTAGACTAATGATGTGAAGAAGCACGTGAATAATGACCCTCCCTCAACCCAAAAATTCCCCAACTCTTCACCTCAAATTTTCCATCCCTATCTTGCCTCATGCTTATTACTTTAACATGCTACAGTACTCATGTGGAAGATTACTTTCACATGCTACGGTACTCATGTGGACAATCAGGTTGGATAGAAAGAGGATTTTCGATGGCAACAAAAGCAAAATAATTGCCATCCAAGATTGTCTTGTGACAAACACCAATTTTTTGGTTCATTCAAGAGAAGAATTCAGACCATTCTTCTCAACCCTCCTTAATAATCTATGGGCACATCTCCTCTGATTGTCCCTATGGTCCCCAGCGGTCTAGGGCACCATCAAACTAAATTTCGACGTGAGATCTTTAAGCAAACCAGGCCTCGTGGTTATTAGGGGTATTTCAGGAACCATTTGGAAAAATACTTTTGTCCTACTCATAACCATTCTGATTGGCAGGTACCACCCTTGTTGAAGACCTTTCTTTGCTTACTGGTCTCCAAGTGTTCAATTGAAGATGGGGCCAGGTAGTCAACTTCAAATATGACTAGGAAAACGAGATAAACTAGACGAGAAAAACATCTGCGAGTCCATGGAAATTGGATTTCATCTTTGATCATATTTTAAGATGTGCAATTCTGTACACATTCTTTCCAACATTCTTGAAGAGAATCTAACTATTAAGCTGACTCCCTTGCTAAAGGAGCCAACAGGACCAACTTGTTTATACATCAAATAGCTACTTGAGGAACAATTTTGCTAACCTTTTGTATACACCTTACAAACAGATTGTACTTTTTGATATTGGCAAAGATGTAACTTTTTTATCATTAGTGAAATACATTGATTTTTTCTTGAGAATATAAATACAATCAAGTTTTCACAAAAAACAATCCTCTTTATTCTGTAAAAAAGAGAAACTTCACAAGCTATAGGAAGTTAACTTCATCCTTCCTAGTTTTCATTTTATCCAAAATGCAACCCCTGAATCGTGTGGGGTTTGTCAATGGTGCACAAGAATTTCAGCTAGTATAAGGTTCACAGTGAAGATCATCATGCAATGATAAGGAACACATTTCTATGAATAGTACTCAGATAAATCTACTTTCTTTCTTAATTACGGACCCCACATAAGTTCCCAGATCCCAAATCCAAGACTTACATGGGTCTCGTTAACTAGAGAAACCCTCAAACCAATAGTAATAATTATTCTTCAACTGAAAGACGAAATTCAAGAGCACCAAAACCCAAAGAGAAGAATAAAAATAAAAAAGAAAATCTTTGCCCAATATTTTCATCTGTTTAGTAACATACAGTCCAATATTTTCAGTACTAAAACCTTTTTATTGTAAAATAAGTATATTCAATGTCATGCAACAAGTCAACTGATTCATCATTGTTCCTTTCGCTTGATATTAAATACGGTCAATACAAAGCAATCCACTATTCAAACAAAAGGAATATACGACAATCCAAATCATACAAGGAAATAAAATAGAAATAAATTTAAAAAAAAAACACAAAACGGATCTAAAAACACGAAGGAAAACCTTTCCATTGATTATGAGCCAACAATCCTTCGTTTGGTTGTGCCTTATGATTTCCTCAAAGCGATGAACCACTGGATCCGAAGCCATATCTGATAAAAAAAATATAGAAAAAACGTTAGATGCTTAAAATGGGCATCCAAATGAATTTTGAGGTCATGAACCCTTACCAGAGGAGATTAATTAGGGTTTCTCCTGCGCACTTAGGACAGAGGATGAGAGAAAAAACTAGAGAGGGACGAATAAATATAATAGGGGGACGCCGACGTGCGAAGGCTGGCGAAGGCCATTGTGGTCTTCATCGTATATATATATTAATGGAACTTTTCATGGGCACATGACACACTTTCCTCGGGTGGCTAGAAAGTGAAAATGACCAGATACACCTCGTAATGGGACGAGAGTTCTTCGAAATTGTGTTAAGAGGACCACGCTGCCACTGAACCACGATTTGTGAAAAGTTAGGACACCTCCACCTGTTTTATTGGCTGGTATAATGATCACATGGGATTGCATTTCAAAGGCACAAATATGCTTTTCGGAATAACTTAGAGGTACATTTGGTAGGTACGAAACTACTTTACGAAAACGTTTGTGCGAAATTTGCTTTGGTAAGTCGAACTACATATGTAAATTGGTAAGTCGAAGTACATATGTAAATTTTATGGGAAAATATCTTCGTACTTTCTATTTTTTGTTTTTATATCTCAATAGATTTGATCATTCAAAATATATTTCTTAATTTCGGATTAACTTTTTTCACTTTTAACTATTTTTTTAGCCCTAAAAAATATAAAAAGTACATGTTCATTCTAAACTCTTCATCTCTTTATGTTATATATTCCCCCAAATGTCTCTCTCTCTAACATTCACCCTCTTTGCCTCTCTAACGAAGGAGAGAGTGTGAGAGTGAGAGACACAAAGGGGCAAAGAGGGTAGGAAAATAGATAGAGAGAGATATTTAATAGAAAAACACGTGAAGAGAGAGAAAAAATGGTGTTTAGAAATGATATATCTTTCTTATATTTGTTTTGAGCAAAAAAATAGGTTTAACAGGAATAAAGTTAGTTTAAAGGGTTAGAAGATATAAAACTTCGAATTTTTATGACCCAATATATGTTTTGAAACCTTACGTCTATTGAGATATAAAACTTAAAAATAGAGAGTATGGAGATATTTTCCCTAAATTGATCCCATGGTAAAAACTTTTATTTGAAATTGGACCAATTCACATGAAAATAGAACCATATTTTGTAAGGTGGGGAAGAATTTCATGTATATTTATTTTCACATTAGGGCCGCCCAATTTATCCAATATAGTTAATAATGTGAAGTTCTCACAGGGGACCTCTCTAAAACCCTCAGAGGGCCCAAACCCTCCTTTATCACTTTACCCTCTCTCAGCCCTCTTTGTGAATCACCCTGACCCCTCTCTCTCTCACACACACACCGCCCTCACATGGATCGAGTAAGGCCCCTCAAACCCTACCAGAGCTTGCCCTCTCAGTAGTTCTTCACCACATCACAATGCACAAGACCATTAACAGATCTACAGTTGTATAATGTTATTATGGTTTGTTTCTTTTCATTTATGAGCATTTTTCACACCTTGTAAGTGCTGATTTACAGAGATTTTGATCATATAAATAAAATTTGTAAGCCCTGATTTACTGCCTGGAATTATCAAACGATGAAGCCCTATTTCCCAAATTTTACAATCTTCATGGCCCCTAATTTGCAACCTTGTTGTATCTAAAATTTTGGAGAGAATGAAAAAAAATTAGACTGCTAAATATATAGAAATTCATGTTTTATGGTTTATTTTTTCATTTATTAGCATTTTTCACACCTTGTAAGGCCTCATTTATGGAGATTTAAATCCATACAAAGAAACTTCGTAAGCTCTAATTTGTTAAAAATTGAAGCCCTATTTTTCGCATTCTTCGTAAGTCCTAACTATCGCCATGCTTTATCTAAAGGAAAAGGTTTCTATACTTCCCCTACAGCATAGAAGATCTATGCTTCCCCTACCATCCAGCCGTCCAATTTTGATCAAGAGAGCCATTCACCGTTTGATCTTAGATCCGATGTCTCAAAGTACTTTATTTTTAAGTTTTTTTATACAAATTGTATGAATATGAAATTTGGTACGTGCCATATTCTCATTGGGGCACACCTATAAAATATAATGACGAAAATACCCGTTGAAGCTTTCACGGGGTATTTTGGATATTTTATTTTATTGGAAATATTTTTTTTATATTTTCAGTAGTGCGAGTTTAATAGAGGATTGGACATCCAAAATTTGGTGTTAAAATAGTTTATAGAAAAAAATTAAAAATAAAATAGTGTAGAGATGTGACATTGTGATTGGGGAAATCTTAGACCTCCATTCAAAATGGACGGTTGGATAAGGAGAAGTATATAAGTTCTATGTTGTAGGGGAAGCATAGAGAGCTTGCCCTTATCTAAAAATTGGGATAAAATTAAAAATAAATTGGACTGTTAAATATAATTGTCACACCCCAAGAATTTACAGTATTGTTATTCCTGAGATGTGACAGACAAAACATATATACATCTATTGATAGGACAAATTTACAGTGGCGAGGTCTTACATAGTAAATAAAGAAAGCTAGCACAACAACATTATCTTCCAAGGTTGATCTTGACTAGCACTCAAAATGAATCCGTAGTTATCCTGAAAAATGTTTACCATAGTTTGATGAGTTTGGCTACTCAGTAAGTGATCATCATAATCCTAAAAATAATCATGATTGAAAGATATCAATATTTTTCATAATGAAATCTATTAACAGAAATGCATCAGCAGTTTCACTTTCAATAAATGCATAATTAAGTATAATCCGAGTAATTGAAATGCTTATAACACTTTTAACGGCAGTACATAATTCAAAGGATTTCACAAAATACCCTACTGACGTCCCAAATAGGTCACCTATATACCCCATTAGCGTCCTGATGGGTCCACTTAATCCCTATCGGCGTCCCAGATAGGTCCACTTAATCCCTGCAGGTCTACTTATACCTCACCGGCGTACCGGATGAATCCACTTAATCCCTACCGGCATCCCAAATAGGTCCACTTATACCTCACCGGCGAACCGGATGAGTCCACTTGCATACTTAAATTATTTCGAAATCTCTTTAAACATTCGAAAGCAGCAATATCATGTACTCAACATATCACTAAAATCATTAATATGAATTTCACTTAAACCATTAAGAACAATCACTCTATATAACATTTCAAAAATAACCAATCAAATATTTTGGGCTCAAATTTAGAAAGGTAGCAGTTTGTAAAGGCATTCTAGCAAACCTGCCAATTTAATATGTATAGAAAAACTCTTAAAAAAATTCAAGAATACGGAATTATCACAATTTATGGGATATCAATCCACAAATAAACATTTCACAACAATACTATAATCAATTGCAAAAATGTCAATTTTTTTAAATAATACGGCAGTCATTTGCACATGAATTTTACAATGTCTAAATATTCAAAACAGTAGAAAGAAATATCACAATTTTACTAAAAGCAGAAATATCACATTTATTTCTAACAATAAACAAGAAAAATAAATAAATTTATTTTTCTAATTTACAGCATTCAAAATTTCTAACATAGATAAAATATCACAATTTTTATCAAGAAGATTATTTTTCAAGATAATGAGGTCACGTGCCCATAAAATTTATCGCGCCTAAAATTCATGATAATAAGCAGAAATAATTATTTCATTTTATTTTTAAAAAGAATGAATTATTTTTCGAGACAATGAGGTCACTTACACATAAAACTGATAAAATAAAGATCCCAGACGAAAATATCAGTATTTATTAGAAATAGACTATTCTTCAGGAAGACGATGTCACTTACCCACAATTATTTGAGAGGGAGCTTTCGATAAAAAATCCGGTTCGAGAGAGAAGTTCACGGTGTTTCGACCAGAGAGAGAGAGAGATCTTAAAATTTTCTAGAGTGGGAGTGCTCACCTCCCCTATTTAAATTCTCATAACGTATTATTATAATATTTTATTACGCTCTACCTCATACTTGAGGTGTCGCGTTAAGCGTCTGCTTTTAACATACGAAAATCACGTCCGCTAAAGGACGTGGCGAGTAGCAGGCAGTAAGAAGCAGGCAGCAAAAGCAAAAGCAAAAGCAAAGGCAAAGGCAAAGGCAAAAACTTTTGAAAATAGTGATGGTCCCCAAGGACCATCATACTCAAACAGACCATCACCTATTTAAAAGCATCTTTTTCCCTCGTTTTTTTTTTTTTTTTTTGAAATTTTAGGATTGTTACAATAATGAATATTAGATTTAATTAGAAAAAAAAGGTGGCTAAAAAATAAATACAAATAAAATATAATACTTCAAACGATGATCTTTCTAGAAATAAATGAATGGAATGTCATAGGAATCAACTTTGTAAGGTCGCAGATTTTTCAGCCACCCTTATTTCCCTTTTCTTAAGTTTTTCTTTTCTTTTCTTTTTAGGCGACTTGCAGGGGGAGGAGTGGTTCAATAAAGTTATGCCAAGCTCTGAGTTTTGCATTTAAAATTAAATTTTACACTCACTGAATGCGATAATGTTTTGGGATATATCAGGTTGCAATTTATGAGAAAATCAGAAATACGATATGAAATTTTACATAATACCGTCATGTGTCACAATTGTATTAGTAACGTGTCGTGAGTAATTTCCTTTCAAGGATGAACAATTACAATGAAGCTATCACATGAATTAGGAATTTATTAAACCCCTTCGTCTAGAGCATCATAACGAATTATCATAGATATAACTCAATAAATTTAACAAGTGTAAGCAACCTTAGAAGGCATTAACTAAATCACTCCCTAATTCACTTACTCCCGAAGTAGAAGCTCTATCCATCAGGCTAAGCCAATCCTATTGTTTAAGACTTCTACTATCACTCAGGAAGGAAGACATTGACAAGTGGATGACCCACTTCGTAATGCCTTCACTGACGCACACACACAGTCCCCAGCTCGCTTTGGGGTTTTCGATAGGTGATGGCCTTGCAAGACACTACTCCCTACGTCACCTTGGCTAGGAGCATTATACCGTCATAGTGCCAATCACTATGAATGGGGGAGCACACCCAAACATCGTCTACCACGACTCCCATCCTATCATTGGGCGAGCCGGAAAGATCACAAGTAGGCAATGCAATATGCTCAAAGCACAACAATAAATCCCATATCACCTCATGCTCATGCAATACTCTCAAAGCATGCCAAGAGATCTCAAAGTTGGGCCATACAATACACTAAAAGCAGGCCAATCATTTACATATCATAGTATCGCCATGCATTATGCTTAAAGCATGTCAATCATTCACATATCATAATATGGTCATACAATACGCTCAAAGCATGCCAATCATTCATATATCATAGTAGGGTCATGCAATATGCTCAAAGTATGCCAATCATTCATATATCATAGTA